ATTATCAGATGTGGGCAGTCCAGCGGGCCGAGGAAGCCGCCAGGATTCAAGGACTCCTGGCCGTAACCTAGGCGGGGCCATTCGTCCCCCCCACCTACTCTCCTGATTCTGAATAAAATTCTTTCCTCCTCCTTTTCAACATAGTTGACCTTCCACTTATACAGTGAAACCTTGTTAATACATACCTGCTGGGGATGGCGGCATAACTAAGCACAAAAGGTACTATGCATGAACCACCAACTACAAATTTGCATCTCCGGACGTGCGGCATTGCCGCCAACAAAGGAATAAATCCAGTGCCATAGAAAATATTGCCTAAAATGCTCATCATAAAGCCATTTCTTTCTTTTTGCCGCAGTGCAAAAAATATTTTGTCACTCCTGCCCAACCATGCGATAGCGTGCGGTGGAAACGCCAAAGTGCATTCAGAAACTACTGCGGGGTCCAGGATACGCAGCGTGGTACAGCAACGGAATGGACATGATCAGCTGGCCGTGATACACGTGTTATTTGATCTGCTTCTAACAGTTTTTTTTTTAGAACACAGAACGGCTAGTTGCGTGCAGCACTTCGCCTAGTCAATGCATGTCATTTTTAACCGATCCACTTGCTGTAGAAAAAGCACTGTGCACAGATGCGGCGAGTCACTTGTTGAGCTAACATGGTGATTACAAGCTAAGCGATGGTCTAGCAATCGTGGCAACACATGGTGGCACTTTTGGGCTGTCACTTAACATAAATGTGCAGTATGGTCAAAACAGTTCTACCCTTGCTGTACCGTGTGCGTGTTAGCGTCAATGCATCATGGTTTTTTGGTGCCCATGAACCGCAATGCTAAACTCCCAACAGCGAGTTGCCTGTGTTTCCGTAAACACGGTCCCGCATAACAAGGCGGCAACAATAGGTGGTCGAGCCCAATCAGGTAGCCACCTATTACAAAAACGCACAGTAGGCTTAAATGGTGCTACGCCACATATGTTCCCTAGCAGATAATAGTTGGGGATCCTGTGATAAGTATTTGTCGACGATAAGTCATAACTGCGCATTTGCCGTTAATCTCCACCTCGCCTACGCTTCTCCCCCAAGGATAACCCGCAAAAGCACCACCGAAGTTGTGCAGAAGCAGCAATAGTTGATCTGCCAATTTCCAAACTTCACTAAATGACGGAAAACACTTGCAGCACATTGTGGCGTCTGTAAGTTCAGGGGCGCTGTAAATTTTTATGGCGCAAAATTTTATCGCGATATGCAGTTAGTACACACTAACCGGCAGGTACAGTACATGCTTGTTAACTCGGATCTCACGGGACCGGAGAAAATATCAGAGTTGACCGAATTCCGAATTATAATGGACCATGAAAACAAAAGGAAAACGTACACGGCACAGACAAACCTTTATTTCTTAAAGAAGTGCATTATTTTTGCCTGCCCCACCGTCGGAATTTCTGACAAAACGCTCTTATTTAATCCCATCAGGTGGTAGTGCGCACATTCACTGTCGCGAGAACAAACGCAGAACTCCTCAAAAACATCGAGGGCTTCAGCGGCATCCTGCACGAAACAGTGATTTCGGTCCTTTTCAAGCACTTCCGATAATATGTCATCATCAGTCAGTGGACCAGACACGGCAACATGATAGTCTATAGCGACGTAGTCTAAAATCTGGACGCCACTAGGAAGGAGAAAGTCAAAACGCGTGTCATTCACCTCGTCGTTCATATTTACAGTGAGCTCGCGGGTGTCCTCCAGAGGAATATCCGAGTCATCAGGGCAGACAAAGCCGCTATGCCGGAAAGAATTTGCAATGACCTTGGGCAGCGTGTTGCTCCAGACATGCGCTAAAATGTGAAGTGCGGTCAGGAGACTCAGGACATATTCTCGCCCTCATTCCTTGCACAGCAGGATCAGTTCTAGCACATGCTTTCTGTACCTGCTTTTTATGCGCTGAATGATCCCTTGATCCAGCGGTTGCAGAGCAGCCATCGTGTTTGCAGGTAGAAATACAAGTTCGATGCGCTCCAGCCCTGTCACTCTGGTATGAGCACTGCAGTTGTCAACTAGAAGTAAAACCTTGCGCTTGTTACCGGAGAAGCGGCAGTCGAGTTGGCGCAGCCAAGCTAGGAAAATATCCGTAGCCATCCAGACCTTTTTATTGGCATGATATTGCACAGGAAAGTGGTGAATGTTCTTAAAACACCTTGGGTTATGCACCTTCCCGATCACTAGCAGTGGCAGGCGCTCAGTGCCCAACATATTTGAAGCGTGAAGCACAGTGACCCTTTCTTTGCTCCTCTTCTCTCCAACGCACAGGTCACTCTTGAACGTGATCGTTGCATTAAAAATGTTGGCAGGTTGATAACGAACCAGGTTATGGGGAAGCTCAGTTGTCTTCCCCCTGCTTGTTTATCCTCTGCTGCTTTTTCACAGCAAATGTTTCGAAATATCAACCCGTGCCTATAGTGGGCAAACCAGCCTTCAGATCCACTGAAAGATTCAATGTTCATTCTCAGTGCGCACAGCCATCAGTACCTTTAACTCGAACGCCCTGACGTGTTACTTCGGCTCGCTTGGAATGAGGTCAACGCCACCAAGCGTCGAAAATGATATGCTTGCTGCAGTTAAGGACAGGTGTAGCGCGCATCAGTTTTACTAGCAAATTTCTGTTTCCGGTCTGCCTGACCAACAGGTCAAATTCACTTACTTCGCATCCCATTTTCGCCACGTTTCGCTCGTGCCAACTTCATCCGTGCACCCATGGCGTTCGTTATCATATACTTATCTTGACAATGAACAATTGTGTGCAACAGTTCAAGTGCCCTTTAAAAGGACACTAAGAAGGAAAACGAGCTTTTACATATAAATATAATCCCACAATCCTGAAAACACCCCTCTAACCCTGCGACGGTGCTTAGTAAGCAAGATAACACGAGAAAAAAAAAATGCAGGTGGCGACACCACCTTGAGATTCCCGCTCCAAAAACCATGACGAATTTCGAAGGCGTCTACTTGGTTCTATGTAGTTTTCAAGCAATAAAAATGAAGCACATTGTAATCTGTGGGTGTCGTAGATTTAGCATGAGAAGTTTCAGAAAATTTAATCTAGCTAATGCCATGAAAATAAATTTTGCAATTTCTTACGTCGCGCATGGAGATTTTAGTGCGAAATTAAAAATGAAACTTCAACCTTGATTTTCTCTGCTGATAATGGCATTATTAAACATGTGGCATTAAAGCTCTCAGAGTGCAGTTTGTCAATCTAAACCAAGCCATTGTTCCTCTTTAGTGTCCCTTTAACAGAGCTCATTTTGTTACATGAGAACTAAGTTCGGTACATGTGATCTGATGTGTTCTCTGGCAATAATGAATATGCGTTGTTTAGATCTTGCTGCTTGATAAGTGTTGATTTGCAAGTGACATTCCTTTGACTCGATTTCTTTTTGGTGACTGTATTACAGTGCTTAGTCTTTTAACACTAATACCTACCAACTAGCTTGGCTCCCTATTATTTAATGAAAATTGCTACTGTCCCAGGCAAAAATTTTTTCTCCATCTTTATGTGCTTTCCTCCTCCTGAACTTGCTACCTTTACAGGGACAGATAAAAAACAGTAGGTTTCACAGATGAAAGATGTACACTTACATTTTAAAAATCGCACGTTAAGGATTACCAATGCACTCTCAGGGTACGTAGCATGCACTTGTCAATGCATGAAGTTCCTACCACTGCCTAATCACTATCAGTCTTAATGCTAAATGTTGCACTTAACTAACCCACAAGCAATATTTGTTCACACGAGAAGCATCCTTAAATATTCTAAATTTGCTGCATCTTTAGTTGGTGTCTTTGAGCTCGGTCCTATTCTCATAAAGACTAGCATTTCGCCCCATTCAACTTTCTTCATGCCCCTTACAACTCAGCACCCCCGAAACAGATAAGCCTATATGAGAGAAGCCAGCCAAACATGTGATAGTTAAAACAAAGAGGTAGATTCTGATGTATATTAGTACAGTAAGCAGGACAGAGTACTGTGCACTGTACAAAGGAAGAAAAAGACCAGCAGTTTTGCGCAAAAATGTTACAAGCAAGGCTCAAAGTTTTTTCAGCCATATATATTGCAGCATTTTTGCATGCTAATTATGTAGTATCAAGTATGCAAAGGCAAGTATAAACATCTCTCTCATTGGCCACATACACGTGATGTCAAAACACTGGCGTAACAAATGGTGCAGACAAATGTGAGCAAACCACCACCACTGTCTTTTCCTTAAATGAGTTTTCAAAGCAGGAAACAAAAGCTACAACAATTGGAATGCAGAAAGATGGTGCATACAAGCAGGCCCGTCACCTATGCTCTCAGCTGTGCAAAACGGCGCATAGCAATGCTGGTCAGAAGAGAAGATGCACATTCACGTACGCCTTATTCTCCCTTAGCTCCCTTACACCACCCCCCCACGTGATAGTGATGTGTATCGACAGTATAGTGAGCACAGGGCATATTAGCGTCTCATTGCACTAAGACTTGCTACGAAAGATTACAGCCACTAGACAAACGCAACTTTCACTTGGCATCTTCCTATAGTTGTTAATGCAATACTAACTTGGACATAGTGTAACATCTCTTCACTAGCTTCACACGCAAGCCATTCTTCTTGCGCCTTTATAAGTCTGAGAACATGTGTACGCTGAGACTATTGGCCTTCATATTGACCTGTACAATTTGACTCCCACAGTGTCAATCTGCTAATCTAATTACTACTTGATGATGCTAATGAGAAATAAGTGGCAACAATGAGTAGGCTGTAAAGCCAAACAAACAACCAAGAATTCACTTTTAAATATTTTTACAGATTTGACGGCTGTTGGTTATATTTCAAACCTTTCATTTTCATTGAAATGAAAATAACACATACAGATGAAGACAGCATGGGGACCACGTAAAAGTAAAACTGCCGAGCATTTTTTTTAGTACTCATTCTACAACATAAAGAGCAACCACTCACCTTTAAATCCTCCTCCCTCAGCTGGCCTGCTTTCACTTCTGACTCGAGCCTAACCTTTGACTTCTGCAACTCTTCTTCACATTTCTGGCTCTTCAACATTTCCTCCTCTAAGTTAGCCACCATTTCCTCATAAGCCAGCAGCTGCTCATCGACTGCTTGCTTCTGCTTTTCCAGAGAACCTACAAAAACAACATGTAGCACAACAAGGAGCTATGCAACTTCACTCTCGCTATATCCTTTCACTATCGAGCAACTATGAATGAGCTCTGTTTGACACTGACTCGCTTGGGTAGTGTTCAACAAAACACAACTTTTGTTCTAATATGTCTATTGCATCCATTCTTGTTCAACTGCATAATCTTCACATTCCAAATTATTGTGATATGCTGATCTACTTGGAAACTCTCCCCGTTTCTCTCTCTTTTGTGTTGCCCTCTTGTGAACACAGAAGCAATAAAACGTTGTTTGCTGCCTACTCTAAAAGGTGTGAGAACTTAGTCAAGCGTTCTTCACTTCTAGTCTTACACCTTCTATCAACCTTAATTGTAATGATGGAAAAATGAATTATTGTTATTATTATTATTACAGTCGAGCCCGCTTGAAATGAACCTGAGCATGACGCAGCATCCGTTCGCTGTATCCCGACGTTCGTAGTAAACGAAACACAGCTTTAAAAAAAGTTGTGAAAGAAAACACAAACTTTTTTTGCCCCGTAGAGTGCGTGATGCACTTGTTTCGAAGAGCAGAAGCGATAAGGGCAGTCTCGAGTTCATTTAATACGGCAGGGTGCTCATTTGCCGCGGCCTGTGGAATAAGCTGCATGAGGCACTGGCTCCAAAGTTTTGTCATTCTCGCAATCAAATTCCTCCAAATTGCTCTTGCCACGTACTTCATTCACAATGCCCCAATCTGTGCACGGTTCCGCAGTGTCGGCATCATCATCAGCCGTAAATAAACCATTGCAATAGATGTCCCACCCGCTCTCCTAGGTCGGAGTCGACGACGCGCTACCACAAATCGCCGCCCCAGTGGTCCTGTTCGGAAGCTTCAGGCTCGGCATCGGGCCCGATGTCGACGAAGTCAGCCTTGCAAAAAGTTTCACGCGCATGTAGCCGTCACCACCGCACACGAGATATTCACCATCTCCACCGCTGAATATCGGGACGCCCGAAGCGGCAAGTTAGCTGCCAGGTGTTCAACAGCTATAAGCAAGTGCTCCGCAACGCGGCACCTATTGCGCAGATTACGCTCAAGCCAAGCGGTCACACTTTCGACGTTTTGTTGAGCGGCAGGAAAAAGCGTGCAAGTCCTCCCGTTGGCCGTCATAACCACACACCAAGAGCGAGCAAGACACGCACATGCAACACACTGGCCAGAATGCGTGGAACAGCTCTGGGCCCGTTTCCAGTCAGAAAACGAAACTAATTCGAGCCAGCTTGGCGGGCGTCACAAAGCGGTGGAGACGGGCGAAGGGGTTGTGATCAAAAGAGGAGAGCAGACTTGCGAGAGAAGGGCAAGGAGTTGTGGTTAAGAGAGGGGAGGATGCGGCGAGAGGGCAGCCTTGAAAACGAAAACACACGGGAAGGAGGCAGGTCGGGTAGCTTGCGTGAAAGGTTCGGGAAACTCATTCGCAGGCACTGCGCCGTGTCGCCTGTAGGCAGACAGAAATTAGGTGCCTTCTTCCTTTTCCTCATGAACCACTAACAACAACAAACTCATTCGTAGAAAAACTTGGAAAGAGTGCCTGCACGCGCAGAAGTAAAAGCACTGCCGCCAGGATCGGTGCGCGCGGCGGTGTTCGAAGAATTGACGGCCGTGGTGAAAAAATCGTTTTCTTGCGCCGGCAGGTTTGCGTGGCCTCACGGACTTTAATCATTTGCAATTCGTTCCGTGCAAATTAACAGTCGTTTTCGTGCTTCCGCACGCGCGCGGAAGGCATGCTGAGTTGAGTGCAAAAGGCCCGTTTACATTGACCCGACGAGGGCGCGTTGAGCCGAAATAAACAGGTTTTCGGGACTCACCCTCCCCATGTATAAGCGGACGCGTCGTGGCGGAGAGTCGTCGCGGCGAGTCCCGTCGACCCGGAGACAGGGGGTAGGTTCACCGAACTCGCCGCGCTCAGAAAGGGCATGTATAACCGGTCGCGCTGAGTTGACGGCTCGTGACCCCGTCGTGGTCTCCGCTTGCCCTGTCCCCATCACTCTTTCTCTGACGGCCGGTACGCGCGCGCTAGGCACGATGACATCCTCGCGGGCTCCACGCACCATGTGGACAGATGATGAAATAACGACGTTGCTAGCTTTAGTCAACGAGAAAAAATTAAGTGATTTGCTCGATAGCAAGCGGCAAAAAAATAAGGACATATTCATGGACCTGGAAAGATGTTTGAAGGAACAGGGCGTGACGTGGACGTGGGAGCAAATAAGGACCTGTTGGAAGAATTTGAAGAAACGCTTCACGGCTTTAAGTACCTCCCTGTTCGCTTTGATTCGAAAAGTTTTCGGGCGCTTTAATTTCTAATGACTTTTTTGGCATTCGCAGGAACGCCTGCTCCTATGCAAAAGTGGCGGGGAGCCATCAAAGTGGAAGTGGTTTGACAAAATGAGCCTTCTGCTTGGCGACCGCCCGATGGTGCAAGAGAGATTACGGCGTTGACACCGCCGCCGAAGACGAGGACATCGTTGTGTTATGCGGTAAATGCAGATCACTTTTACGTTTAAATCTTGCTTGGCACGTCCTACGAGAGCTTGTTGGTTATCGTTCTCACGGCCGGCTATTTTGCTCTGCCCGTAGCAGGAAATTGGCTTGTGCGCCAGAAATCTCAAATACGTGCACATGAACGCTTTAATAAAGTTTCTGGTCACCTCGCCATCAGAATACATTTGCGTAAATTCACAGGATTGTCTACTAATGCGCAGCATTCCAACTCCGCTTGCATTTATTTTGCGTTCTTCACAGCCAGGTGCGACTATGAAAAGGCAAATACTTTCGGGTATTTTATTCTTTGTAAGTTTTGTTTTGGGTTTTTTTGCAAGTGGTGTAAATTGACTTTATCACAAAAATTAAGTGTCTTTACCAATACATGTAATTTCCCCCAGAGGAAAAGCGTAGTCCAAGGTTGGTTTCGCTCTATTTCATTCGTGTTTCATGAATCCCTGAATAGACTAAAGCATTTCGAACGTTTTTTCGGGTTCAGTGTTCGGGTTTTGGAGGAGATGAGGGTTGTTCCACGCCAAATATCCCAGACAGTACGCTAGACCATCTACGATTACACTATAAAAAGTAATGGTTGGTCACTTTACTACACTATTCATTTTTGGAACCAATCTTATAAAGAAAATTTTAATTTCTTAAATATGATGGCAGTTAGGTTGCGACGAAACTTAGAAAAAGTGAAATATTATACGCAGCACGGTAAAACGATTTCAGTCGGTAGAAAAAGAACCGCATTTCCTTGTTAAAACGCATTCACCACTAGTGTATGTTAATGTGCTTTGCGGGGAAGCAATGCAGTGTTCTTGTTGCAGCCGGCTTGTTCTTCATGCTCAATGCAGCAATGCAGTGTTCTTGATGCAGCCGGCTTGTTGATTCGTGCTCCAGTTTCCTGCGCTTACCGCCAGTAATAGAAACAAATTATGCAGCTGCATTATCTCATAAAAAGTTGTAAGAGCTGTAAAAATGTTTAAATATCGCCCAAGAACAATGCATTGCTTTTCTCAAAGAACATCTTGAGACAACCTAGTAGCTGTGAGCGCGTTGTGCCAAGGAAACGCTGTGTTCTTTATACCCACGAGTTTTTTTCACAACCTACTTATTGGGCGCTGCCACGATATTTAAATTGCTCTGAGAGTTAGAAAAAGTTTCCTCCGAAAACTGGTCTCAAAACAAAAATGGAAGCGATTAGTGTAGTCAAACGATCGACCATGAATTTTCATATTCTTATCGGAGATGGTCGAGCGTACTGCCTGGAACGTTTAGCGTGGAATGAGCCATGTATTTATTTCGTAACTTCGTTCTTGTGATATTTTTAAATTTTGGTTATTCTTGTTTTTTATTGATAATGACGTATGACCAATTAAGGAAATTTGCGCTCTTATGGCGATAAAATTCTGTTTGACCAATTATCCCCATTTCCGTTATAACAATTAAATGTGTTACTCCGCCCGTCCCGCATTTTTGTTTGAAGGCAGGGCATTCCACAGTCTAAGGTGCTGGGGTACTCGGCAAGGAATGCTACGCAGGATAAATGTAGATCATGAATTGACCATGCACATGGTTGTACTGTCAATATTCCCGTCCCTGATTACAATGAAGACCTATGGCAAATGCACTAACCCAATACTTATAATTGCAGATGGCAGCGAAGAGGAAGGAGATGCGTGCGACGATCTAGAAACCTGTAAATTCCTGGAGAGACCAGCCAGGGGTGAACACGGGACGGTGCGTCAGGCTGCGGATACGCTTACGGCGAGCGCTGTGCCGCAACAGAACCACTGCTGTCATCGCGTTGTGCAGTGTTAGCCAATTCACCAACACAACCATAAGGCACAGCTGGTGCAAACTGAGAAAAAATGCCAAGACGGGAGCTGAGATAGCCATCGCGGTGGCGGAGCGACAACTGCGTAAACAACCGCAGCCCACAGCGGCGAGAGGCGAGAGCGCAGGACGATAGTTATAGCGCGAGAACAAAACGACGACACAGAGACAAGAAGGACACGAAAGACACGAGCGCTAACTTCCAACTGAGTTTATTGCGCAGAGCACGAAAATATATAGAGGAGACAGTGACCATGGCACAAGAGCAGAATATGAGTAAGAAAAACAAAAACAAACAACACAAAAACAAAGGTACTGAAAAACAGCAAAGAAAAAACCTTGAAGAAACCGAACCAGAAAGGTAAAGCTACCTGCCCGCACCGAATCCTTCGAGGAACCTGCGTTCCTTCTCGGACTAAGCCACGGAGGGCTTGCTAATGCGAGGCACCTGTTCGCGTTACCTGCCCGCACCGAATCCTTCGAGGAACCTGCGCTCTCTCAGCCGATCGTTCGCTTGGAGGAGCGGAAACCGGTACCGGAAGACGGGCTTTCGGCTGGCCTCGACGCAAAGCGTCGCTGCGATCACCGCTCACCTCACCTCGTCCGTGCGAGTTCATATAAACTCGGGCGCATCGAGGTAAGCTGAACCCGCCACTCAACTCAGCCCGCCCCCGTCGCGTCCATGTACACGGGCCTAAAGTGAGCGAGAACAAGTCCTAAACACGAAGAAACACGAAATGAATCGCAAATTATCAGTCAGTGGGGTAGCGTACACGTGTGCACTAAACGCAGACTATCCGATACAGTCGGTGGCCGACGTTGTGGACAAATTGTCTGGTCACTCCAGGTCGGCGACGCTAATGACAATACCAGCGATCAAAAACAGGGTATATGGCTGACCAGTCTTCGAGAGATAGGTGGCAGTGTGACAACACGGGCCTCGCCTGGCGATGCGGGTTGCTCAGAGTAGCGGGGGGACAAAGGACAGAGGGGTGCGTAACAAAAAGCAGTTGGGGCATGGAGGAAGGAAACAGCCTTCCTTGCACTGGGACCGGAGGAGTGGCAACTAGAAGGTCACGGAGGCAGGGTCGGCGTTTAACAATAAGAATGTATGGGCACCTCGCCGTCTTATCGGTGGTCGAAAGTGGTTCCACGGGAAGTCAGCGGACCGCTGATTCCATTCGCATCAGCAGCGCTCGGAGACGTTCGTTGTAAGTGCGATTTTGTGCCATTGAACCAATGTATAGTTTCACGGTCACACGAATATTATTTGTTTTAAGCAAAAGCTTGTTTTAAATGATGCCGTTATATGTGGGCTCGACTGTATTATTATTGATTGATTAATTGATATGTGGAGTTTAACGTCCCAAAACCACCATATGATTATGAGATATGCCGTAGTGGAGGGCTCCGGAAATTTCGACCACCTGGGGTTCTTTAACGTGCAACCAAATCTGAGCACATGTGCCTACAACATTTCCGCCTCCATTGGAAATGCAGCCGCCTCAGCCGGGATTCGAACCCGTGAGCTGCGGGTCAGCAGCCGAGTACCTTAGCCACTAGACTACCGTGGCGGGGCGCCTGTATTATTATCATTATTATTATTATCATTATTATTATTATTATTATTATTATTATTATTATTATTATTATTATTATTATTATTATTATTATTATTATAGTTTAGGAAAATCGAGCTCCTACAAAGGCTCACGAAATGTTGCATATTTTGAAATCTAGGCACTACACTACAAAAATAATTGCATATTTTAAAATAGCACCAAATATAAACTCAGCAAGTTTAATTCACATCAACAAAGAACATTTTTTATCTATTTCAAAGAGTAGTGTCTCCCTTGAAAATGGATAGTTGCCAGCATAAAGAGAATGTTTGTCAGTTTTTTTCATTGAAGGAGCCGTCAAACACCAGTTAATGTTTTCATCACTTCTTCTGGTACGGCATAATACGCTGATATTGAGTAGCAACATGTAAAACAAAGTAGTTGTAGTTAATATTAATGCACAAGCCACCCTAATATCTGACGACACTTACACACAAAGACTATTTTTCTTATTGGAACCGATGTTTCATCACATGGCAGCAATGACACTAAAATTGTAAACACATACTTCACACTTTAGCAGAAACACAGTCTCATGTTTTAAAGGGCGATGCGAGTAAAAAACCCAAGCTTCTTCTGAAATTACATATTTTTCGTTTTGCATTGCTTTTATAAATTTAGTTTGTCTATTTTTCCACACAACAAATTGTAATTAAACTTGCAAGTAAGCTAAAATCACTTTTAAAGAAAACAAGGTAGCTACTTAAAAACTACAAAGGGCTCATTGCCTAGCGTCCCCTTGAAATTGTCATCTGGCTACTTGATATTGCATTTTGCATGAGCAGTTCACCAACCCCAAAGTCACATGTTCAAAATAAACATGATTCTTAGGCTCTCATGACGAAAGAAATCATTCAAAAAAGACATATCTTTGCCAGATAAATGAGCTCACACTTATATCTTTAAAATGCGTTTTTCTCAATATCCACATTGGGCAACTGCTCGAGTTTGGAGATTATGTTTTTGGTACATCTGGTAGCAAGATCAAAATGAAAATTTGCCGACATATTCCTCAATATGTGAAGAAGGCAAATATCTCCTTTAAATATTGATATCGTCTATATAACATTAGTTGTTTTTTTTGTGTGTGTATCCATTAAAATGTCTTCTACACACTTTCTTGTTATTTCTGTTCTACAGTTAATGGGAAGCAACATGACGCATTAATGGCTCAGAATCATGAAAGTCTAGGGGCAGAAAATTTTTCTAAAAAGAACTACATTTTACACGCTGTCACGGTACAAAACGAACACAATGCAGCTTACTATAGAACAGACTACATATGTGAAATAAGCATAAAAGCCTATAAATACAGCAAAACTTTTATTGCCCTAAGCTATCGATTAAAGGAACATGTCTTTTTCGAGTAGTCTCTCGCCTTAATGCAATTGCAACACAACAGTAGGAGAGCTGAGCAAGTGCGACCGTAAGGCGAGACTTACAGTAACGTTCTATAAAAGGTGTGTAGCGACTAGAACCAGCCACTGACATCACTGGCAGAGTGAAATGCGAACAAAAATGTGTCTGCTCGTAGTCTGCTTATGTTTTCAACACTGATTACGCCAGTTCATGTGCACAATTTTTTGTCATTCTTTTCTGCATTCATCCCCGCATTCAATACCAGATGCACCCTAGTGCTACAGAAGGCAGTTGAAAAAAAAAGTCACTTAAAAGGCAGCTTATTACAATACCGAAATCACAACCGCAGGCCAGCATGCAGAGGCTAGCACAAAACTGAGCAATGCTTGTGACTCTGCATGTTGAAACACAACTAATTACTGCTTGCTCTTTGCTCAAAGATGAGCGAGGAACACTCACTTATTTTCTCAGAGAGGCAGGTAATCGTAGACTGTTGAGCCAAAGACTCCTCCTGAATAATGTAAAGTTGCTGGTTCTTTTCCTTCAAGAGTCTGCTTAGCTCCGCAACTTGTGATTCCTGCAAAAAAAAGTCAAGCAATTGAGAATGACTAACTTCCACATTAGAAAATTCACAGCACTTAGATTGAACCAGTAACATTAAGGAATTAGTTCACATGCAACAGAAGTTGATAAAGAGCATGGCCGGGTAAACAAACACATGAGTGCACAAGTATTTTTCGAAGTGACTTCGACTCCAGTAATATTTAGATACAATAAAACCTCGTTATAAAGAAGCAGATTATAATGAAGCAATCATAATTCCCCTTGAAGTTCCCATAGACGCCCATATATTTAAAACCTTATTTTAACGAAGGGAAAATTTCCTCACATTCAACATGACCAATCATTCTTCGCCCCCAATGAGCATCTACTGATAATTTTGGTATACGTCAATTCAATATTTTAAACCGCGCGACGGTTCACGGCTCATCACAGCTGCAGTAATTCAAAACTCGCACCTTGCGCTCCCCGGGAGCCGCCTGCCAACACGTGTGTGGGAGCGAGTCTCCCTGCCTCCTCTTTTTTCATGAACTAATGAACTCGCTCGCGCAGCAACTCGCGTGAGTGTGCGCTACAGCTGGCCTCCCCTCTCCTGTAGAACTCGTTGACCCGCCCGCGCATCTGACCTCCTTCTACCCTTCAGCTCCACGCTGGGACGGTGGAGATTGTGGCTTTTTTCCTTGTCGTTCGCTGTGGAAGGGCAACAACACCTCTATCAGTTTCTACCGCTAGACAGGAGATGGACAATGGCAGCGCCAAACGTAAGCGCAAAAATATAACAATCGAGCAAAAGTCGGCAATGTTGAAAGCCGTTGAATCTGGCGTCAAGAAAAAAAAATTGTCTGAAGATTTCAGCAATGCCGCCGCGTCAATTCAGGGCTGACAGCTTCTCCGACTTCGTCACATTTGACAGCGGCGTCGTCGACAATGAGGAGCTGACTGACGAGGAAGTGAGAGTGACGATCGGAGCCTGTTCTGAGCAGTCATCAGACGTCAGCAAACAAGAAGACGAGTCCGCTGCAGTAAAACTGACTTCACAGCAGGCGATTGACCACATTGATGAATTGAAGGCGTAGTTCCAGCTGCAGCAAGACAACTGCAGTGTTGAAGTGTTGCAGCTGAGTGAAATGCGGCACAAAGTGATAACATCATCGCTCAAGGGTGCTCATCAATCGTTGATCACTGATTTTTTTTTCTAAGTAGTTGTAAGTAAAAAGTTTTTGTTTGTGCTTTGCATTAGATGTTCATTGCTCATTGCAGAAACGATGTTGGGCATCACAACCATGATTTGAAAGCAAGATGTTCCGGTGCTCCGAGCAGGTGAGTTCACCTACTTTAGAAGATACGTATTCGCGTCTGCACAAAAGAGAATTAATTCAAAGCCGGTCAGCAGGAAACGATAAAAAAGCGTTTTATTAGCGGGCTAAGCCTTGCTGCTGTGCAGCAGCCACATTGTGTCCCAGCATATACTCTAGCCGCACTGCGTTTCTGCAATTTTGTTAATAGCCGCTGCTGGTAATTGAAATCTTGTGTAACTATGCTGGCAAAAGCAACCAGCAGGCCTAGCCTGTCCCATAATGCTGATCGGAATAGTCACACAACGCACACGCACCTCCCCCCCTCGCCGCAAGGTATGGATATTACGAACTTCGGATAAAACGGACTTATTTTGCCGGATTATTATGGTCCGTTGTAACGAGAGTAGACTGTATTGGTGAACCTGACGTACTGACGCCCGCACGAGCGCGTACAAGACGTACTGACGCCCGCACAGTCGAGTACCTTAGCCACCTTAACCACAAGGGGGGGGGGGGGGGGCACACAAACAGGCTTTCTCAGCAGACATCTATAAAAACAACTTCAAGGCTACCAGTCAAACTCTGCCACAACAAACACCACCACAATGAAGACCTTTTTATTCCCCATCCAGTGCCCATAAAAAACAACTAAAAAATGCCTCATCACAATGAATAACTTTTCAGCATACTTCTACTTCAATAAAGTTTTACAAGGGCTACTAGATAAGAAAAGGCCCTGGCAAAGCATTGCTATCAAATTCTGCTGGAAACTCGAACCCTGCTCATTGGCTCGTGACTACCAAAGCCGCGCCGCTGCTATGCATGACCCATGGTCTATGTCCGAGACTCATCTTAGTGCAATACAGCCTCATCAAGGCTTCAGCACTGTCCGCAGAAAACAATGCGAAAAATGCCCCATTACAACAAATAATTTCTTAGAATACTTCTGCTTCAACAAATTTTTCACAAGAGCCACTAAATAAGGATCAGACAGAGGCATTTTTCAAGAACTCCCGCCAAGTTTCTGAAATTGTGCTCAAAACAAAACTACTGCTCGTCCTTGCTAGTCCTGTGATCATCGATGACAACCATGGCGTTCTGAAACCAAATGCACAGCCAGCGCGTAAGTAATCCAAGTGAAGCTACAGTCTGACAGAACTGCTGCAAACAACACCATGGTAGACGCGATCATACAAAGCTATGCCAGTCTTGAAGGGGCTCTAAAACACTTTACCAAGTAGCCATATAATGGCTTCATTTAAATAGATTATTGTCAAATGAATTGACAACCCCCAAAAGTTATAAAATCCATCAAGTATGGGTGTACAGGGATTTGTCGCGTGGTTGAAGTGTTTTTTCTTCACTTTGTACCAGCAAGTGTGCTGAAATCAACTTAGGAATGACGAGAGTGAAAGAAGATGCGTCTATTTGTCAGCATGTGTGACAGCGTTGAAGGTGACAGTGTTAGTGAGCTCGTTTCACAGAAATTTCAGCGTCAGTGTGGTTGGTTGTAAGCAAAAAATCAGCTGTGTGTGACTGAAAAATCAAGAAAGATGCAAATAAAATACATAATAAAAAAGTCAAGCCTTTCTCCAAAGGCGAAGCAATAAACGCTATAGCAACAAATTGGAAGGTCACGCGCAGAATGGATAGCAGATCCAAACATGCCCTGCATTTCTCACGCACAAATAATGCACTAAATGTACTCACAGGTACAGATGAACGCGAATAAGCATCTCAGTAGTTACTTCGCTGTGTCAGAAAAGCGCGCTATTTTCACAAACGAAGACTGTGCAACGATTGCAGTGACCTTCGTGCACCCGGTAATTACACAAAAGAACCGTCCCGGCAAAAGCTTAAGGACAGCCAAGACATAAGATGTTCCCAACCGCGAGATAAGGGCGCGCAAATGTGCATTCAGGGGCTTTACAGCACCCCCACTTCTCTCCGCGAGGCAAAGTATGTGTGGGAGATGAGGGCGCGGGCCGCTGCAAGCTCATTGTGCCATCTTGCTGTTAATGCTGAAAACACTATAGTTCCCCTCCAAGATGCTCTTCACCAGAGGTAAGTGATAGATATAAATAGCTTCTGGTTTGCACGTTGAAGGACGTGCTCCTCGGTAGCTCAGTGGTCAATGCCTTGCACTCCCGATGCAGAGGTTCCAAGTTCGATTCCTCGCGCTGGAATTTTTTCCTAGATTTTTTTTTCTTTCTTGCGTTTTCACAAATATATATACATATACAGTGAGTGACGTCGACGCCAATATCCAGCCGAAAGCGTCCATATAATTGCTATCACAATAAAAATTCTGGGTCTGAGTGGAGATCGAAACCGGGCTGTTTGCATGGCAAGCAGCTGCTCTACTACACAGCCACACCTCTGCTTGTGAATACAGTGAAAATGACTTCCTCTGCTTGAAAATGCAGTGAAAGTAACTTCCATGTTTTACAAATACATGCGTCCTGTGTACATGCTTCACAATACAACATGAAATACTGCCACAATAATGCGTGGTACAAGCGTACATTGCCATCCGGCATCAAAACATGGGATTATCATAATGACTTCATATAAAGCCAGTCACCCACTACAAAAGACACACATGCTACACTTTAAGGCTAAGCAGTGGGTACATAGCAAGTTTGAAAAGATTTCATAAACTATGTGTTTAAGTACACTCTAGAAAGAGAATATTGCTATCACATTGAACTCTTAAAGGCAAAGCTTAAAAGGACCGACAACAGATTTTTTTCAACCCAGTATTTTCCGGTGTGACTGAAAGCTTACCGGTAGCTTCGCAGTGTTCTCAGCTGCAGTAGTTAGTCCCAAAAGCACTTAGTTATTTTATAAGCAGTATTTTTCGATTTGAAAGGCTCTGAACACTGACATGCTTTTTTGTTCAGCAACACTGAGAATCGACAGCCATGCCGGTTGCCCTTCTAAAGACTTGTGCATGCTGTCATTTTTCTGCTTTTGCAGGAGTTCCTGTACCTATGCTTAACTATATTCATTCTGAACTTTACAACTTCTTTTGAAAATAACAAGCTGTTACAATGAGGCTATGTGGCTTTATACAGCTTCTCTGTATTTGTACCACGTTGCGTGTGCCTGCACCCAAGGTTGATGCGCCTGTGTCGTGGATGGCTTGTCCCGTCATCAATACTCCCTCGACACACGAGCCAAGTCAAGTCACCCGAAATGTCACTGCGTGTCATTTCTGAGACAAAGTGTAGAAGGTAAAAAAAATCTTAGCGACCTGGAAACTGCATGCACGGTTTCATGAGCAAGTAGAAAAATTGCTCAAGATGCGCTGACGACCACAGGATCATTACGTCATGAGAAGGCAGCGCCACTTTATTGCACACTATTAATGCATGCTTATAAGTACATATATATTGAATAATAACGTTCATTACAAAGAAGCAAACAACATTTCAATACTAACAAAGAAATTGTTCACCACGTACACTAGTTTACAGTCACGTAGCAGGGTAGCTCGGATAATTAAAGTTTCTGCAATGAGGTGGCACCACAGGTTATTTTTGAGATTTTGAATGAAGAAATAAAAATATAACTCCACTTTTCCCAGGAAAAATAGGGTTGGTTTGAGTCACTGTAAGGAACGAGCTTTCCATTCGTGCGGTCATCTCATTTAATGTTCTCGGCAGCTGTCGGCCCTTGTAAGGGTCCCCCAATTTTTGTCCCTTTCTTGTGTTTCCATCCGAACAATGACACAATATGCACATTTATTTATTGTGATGCTACACATTTTCAGCGCTTTCTATAAATGTTCGACTGAGCTATTGATTGCATTCAGTCCCTTCTGACTGCCTGTATGCTGCCAGCACTTTCTTTTAAAGTAACTTTGCTAACTACAATAATTACATTTGTACTCTCCAAGTCAGCAACTTTTAAGCCGTGTGATGTTAACCCCCATGAAAGCACAACAGGAAGTCTTGTTTCGATAGCTGTCTTTGTCATTGTTTCCTCAACCCAGAACATCCAATTCTAGTTCCGTGTGCCTTTATGATCGGCCTCGTTGCATCTTTAATCTCATTTGCAGAGTCTGTGTAGAGGCTAGTTCAATGATTTAAAATGGTTTTACATCCATCTTCAAATGTCAGCTTTTCAGCGAGACAAAGATCTCATGCTGTATCAGCAAAATGTAGCCTGGTACTATCCCCAGGCGTTTCCATTGACCTGCCGTTGGGGTGGGTGCCTAACCGAGTCTTGAGTGCTGCAACCATAAGGCAGGAAACTAAATACAGCTCACTCAGCCTCAATATATTCTTCGCTTAGGACACACTCGGACTCGGACTCCGGAGAATTTCGATAACGCAGACTTACTTTGAACTCACTTCGGTTCGGACTTCCCGGAATTTCGCTAAAGGAGACTCACTCGAAACTCAGCTAGACTCACTCAGATTTGCCAAAATTTTCCTCAGAAGGACCACTCAAACTCACACTCACCAAAATATAAGTCAGATGGATGCACTCAACCTCAAAAAAATAAAGTTTCCTCAAACAAGCTCACCTGAACTTAGACTCATTAAAATATAAGTCAGCCAGACTCATGTGGACTCACCAAAATATAACGAAAATATAACTCAGCCGGAATCAGAGTCACCAAAATTTTCCTGAAGCAAGCTCACTCGGACTCAAAAACTCACTAAACTTTTTCCTCAACCAGACTAACTCGAACTAAAACCAACAATGATATGGCCCCGCTCATACAATAAATGTTAAAGGGGCATTATAAAAAAGCTTATGCAGAATAAGACAGAGGTGGATCTAGCCACTCATTTTACGGGGGGGGGGGGGGGCAGTCACTTGAAGTAAGAGTGAAGAGGGGAGCAGAGTCGTTACTTTCTTGTTTTACTAGCCCGAAAAACCCTATTATAACATAAATACTATTAATGTGTGCTCACAGTGTTCCGACTCATTTGTTTTAATGGGTGATAGAAGGTGGATGGCAAGGAATGGAGAGGGCCAGTGCGTTCACCCCTACCGCCCCCCTCCCTCTGGATCCGCCTCTGAAGTAAGACAAGTAAAGGGTTTACAAGGGCCAGGCCAACTTCAAAATAAATATACCATAGCTTTCAACATGAAAAAATATTTCCGGTGCACCCCAATGTCTATATACTAAAGAACATTTCAACCTTGTATGCAATTTTTGCAATACTAAGAATGTTTTCTTTAAAAATAAGATTGGGTCTAGGAACCTTCAAAGTAAATTAGGTTTGCATTTCCAAACTACACCACATGCGCTGTGGTGCATGCGCCAATTGTTTTCAGTGGGCGATTACATGCGAGCATTTTAGGCAGACGCAACTAATTGAAGTCCTTTCTTACGCTTTGCCAGTTCAAGGTCTGATCATGCTACTTCTTGTGAACAAAGAAAACTTCACAGCGTAATGATGCTTTTCTCAAACGTTCATGAAGCTGCCAATAGGTTTTGCGGTCCATTGACCGCTCATTGACGGTGCAAAAAATAATAATAAGAGGCGACTATCATTTACAGCATCGAGCTCACAATTCATGATACATTGTGGAAGCATGACCTCATTGGTTGCGTGGATATGCCTCGCTACAGTTTTAACATAATGCCTTCCACGGTATTCTAAGGGTTATGGCGCTTGACTACAGACTCGAAATATCACGGGAAATGAATCCCAGCCGTATTTTCAATAGAGGCCAAAATACTTGAGGCATGCTTACTTATAATAGGGTGCATGTAATGAACATACGGAAGCCGAAATTTCCAGAGCCATCCGCATAATGGCATCATAGTTTTGGGACGTTAAACGCAAAGAATTTACATACAGTGAAAGCTCGAGCTTAACTCAAACTCAGTTAATTTGAACTTACAGTTAATTCCGATTGACACGTTTGGCAACTTTACCCTTTTATGGGTTAAAAGTGCCGTCCCCCAGAAACACCTTCAAAATGATTCATGCTGCACACATGCATAATCATTTGTATGTTTAAAAAACGGGCCTTTTTCAATCCTTTGTTGTTTGACGCACGCTGCGACATTGTGGAAACATGTAGAAATATTTTCTAGAGCCAATGTCTCTCTTTATCATTTTTTAATGTTC